GATGTGGGGCAGAAGTCATTCTGAGTACTGTGGCCTCAACTGACTAATCATGAACACACTCACGGGCGCGCGCGCGCGCACACTCACACACACACACACACACACACACACACACACACACACACACACACACACATACATACACACATGCAAACACACATACATACACACATGCACACACACACACACGCACAATGTATTGACGTGGCCAGGCTACGCGCTGGGGTCCCCAGTACTGTGTAGGTAACTCGATGCTGGGCAAACACCGGAGGCCGCGTCCTGTACCGAGGTGGTAGGAACAGCTCACACAGTGGGATTCTCAGGGGAACAGAGAGCTCTGTTGTTAGGAAATTGTCGTTGATTTTATGTTTTATACCCCGGTAGACTAAACGTTTTATCGTTTAGGAGGTAGGCTGCTTTGGGTCGATCATGCCTGTTTCATACTGGGGTAGAGGGGGGAAAGGGACGCAACCCAAGTTATGTGGGATGTTATAGCAACAGAGCTGTGTTGAATGGGTCTTGTGGGAAATTGTTTGGAAATCGTTTCGATAATATGTGTTTTATGAGTAAATAATAAATCATGCCCTTGGGGCATTGAGCATGAGAATTGTATCATGTCCTCTCAGATTGCTGCAATGCAATGCCCAGTTTATTAGTCAGACTAATAGTTTGATTAACAAGACTTATTCTAGTTCTTGTGACCACCCATATGACAATCTGAAAGCAAGGACATTGTTTGACGTTCTTGGTGATTCCATTCTGAAACATCATTCAACCAGTGGACAACAGTTCTGTCCTGAGAGTGGCCGTTACCTTAGCTGTCAGTGTAGTGTAAGTGTCAAGGAGCGAGAGGAACTTCTCCGGGAGGAGTATCTGGGGCTGTCTGTGGGCTTGGTTTAGAAGGTGAAGGAAGGAGGTGCTGTCCTGGCTAGGTGAGGAATTTAGAGTGCTTGTTTGTGGAGAGTGCAGTAAGAGAACAGCAAGCTGTATTTAGGTCAAGTGGTCTTGCCGGACTCGTTCCCAAGAGCTGGGAACTGGCATGTGCAGCTCTTCGTCTCCCTTATCTCTGTAGTCAGGACTCTTCCCCTCTTATCTCTATAGGGATCGGACAACTAAAAAGCCTTTCCATAAATTTTGAGAATAGTTAGATTTTCAAAATATTGGTACGTGGTTACTGTTGTGCTTGTGCGTGTGTCAACGTGTACGACATACATAGCTTGGAGGGATTGGGGATGACTCATTGGGCTGGTGACAGCAGGGAACATTTTATTTGAGGATGGTTGGAGGGTGCTGCTTGGGGGTCATACTTCTTGACTCTTTCTTAATGTTTCAGTAGATCTTGCTTTTTTTCTCCTCTAGCTCTAAACAACTTTGATTGTGCTGATTGCTTTTCTTTGCTTAAATTAAACCAAGTGGTTTACCTCCGGCCATTGTCAAGACACTAGTACTTTCGAACATTGATGGCACCGCCTTGAACGTTCGTTGTGTGGATCTGAGGCTGTGCCTTGTACTTGCTTTACTCAAAGAGTTTCCACTTAATGAAATTTGTAGTATATGTACCTGCAGCTAGCAGGTTAACAAGGAACATATGATGAAAATAATTAGTCACTTGTAGCCTGTGCGGTGGTTTCTCCACACTATCTCTCAAGAGAGAAGTCTTTTTCTTCCCTATGTAAAGAGACGTCCCTTTATCTCTTAATAGAGGCCTCCCCTTTATCTCTTGAGAGGCCCTTTCCTTATCCTCCACAATAGCTAAACCTCTCCAAAGTTGGGCTACGATTCCGTCAGGAGCATTTTTGGCGCCAAATTTGATCTGTACTTTCAAAAATACTTGTTTCACCTTGTCGTTTTTAAAGTACTCTCATTGACTGCTGAATTTGATGCGTACTTGTTGAGATGTATATGGATGTTTGTCCATCTCTTTATTTTTCAGCATCATCTGTGGTGTAATGGTTAGGCACTTCATTGTAGCATCTCTCTCTCGTGCCCTTTTTGACTCCCAGTGGAGCATAGGCCATCAACAACATTTATCCAGCGAAGCCTGTCCTGTGCAGAAAACTAAAGTTTTGGTTCTCATGTTGGAATCGAGTATCTTCATTTGCCATTTGTCTGCTAGGACATTATCCCTCTCAGGTCAGGTTGGCCCTGACAGGCAGGGTAAAAGTGGAGCCCTGCACCTCCTTCATGATATGATTTACAAATTGTGTTGATTTGGGGTGTAAAAACATCCTTAAATACAATTGTATCATATTTTTCCCTCTGTCTTAAGTAAGTCTTAAGTTTGACTAAGAAGAAGTGGCGGAGCAAAATTGTCTGATGTTGCAATGGTATGATAGATCATACTACATAGATCCACCTACTTTTTCTCACCTCATGAAGTCAACCCAAATCCAAAGATAAAGGATGGTGTTAAGTCAGAGACGTTTGATTTACTAGACTCCCTTTGTCTGCTAGCAGTGGCATTTGTGTGTGTGTGTTTGTGTGTGTGACTGTGTATGTGTGTAAGTGAGTGTGTGTGTGTGACTTTGTATGTGTGCAAGTGAGTGTGTATATGTGTGTGTGTAGTGTATGTTAGTCTACCCTCTGACAGTTGATGATCGGCATTGTTTGATGATCTATCATACTTTGATGTTTGTTGTGGTTTGATGATGAGGGCTGTGTGATGGTCTGTTAATGTTTGATGTTGAGAGTGGTTTGATTCTCTGTAAGAGTGTGATGGTGAATGTGTGGATGGTTGGCAGGTGCTTATGTGTAGTTTGCTTTTTTTTTTTCTTTCAAACATCTGTCGTCCTTATCTCTCCTTTTTTTCTGTAAGTTACTCTCTAGCAACACCTCTAATCTTTAGTACTTATATGTGTCCCTGCCGGTCAATATCAGTTATATGAAGGAAATTTCAAAACTGAGTTAACATTATTTTTAAAAACGATCACCTTTTCCCTACAATTTAAACAAGAATGAAGTAAATATGACCATATTTGACAAAAATACAGAACTTTTAATTGTGCGAGGTGAGGAGACACGAAAAGGAGAAAATGGCCTCCGAAGTTGAGCAATATGTTTCCATAACAATGGGGGTCTTAGAATTGAGATAAAGACTTGAAATTTAGCTGTTATCTTGGCTATGCCACTACAAGGTAACATACAGAAGTAGAAAACTATCCATTAACAGAGAAAAAACTTATGGACAAAACAAAATTTTCTCGAGAATAGACTTCAGATCAAATGCTACAAAATATTAGCACTCTTCAAGACTGTGAGTGGGTGGTTGACGGGTGCTCTGGTGTGGTTTGCTTTTTCTTTCCTATTAATATTAAACATCTATCGTCCTTATCTCCCCTTCTTTTTTATGTTTGTTACTCTCTTGTTGTAACACCTCTAGTCTTCTGGCGCTCATATGACCTTTTATGCAGTTGCGAGCGCCGTAAAACCTCTACTAAAACTAAAAAACAAGACTATGAGTGTGAGATCATTACAAATCAGTATTTTATTGCCTCAAACATGATGATCTGTCGTTATTTCAATAAAAACACGAAGCGTTGTCTCGGCCGGCGCCGCATAGGTCCCCGCGGAGAGCGAATCGGCTCTATACTGTATTGTACTGAGTGCTCCCGGTAGTTTCGCGGAAGGATTCATGCAAAATAATTCCAAGCTGATTTCTTATTTTATTCTAATAGAAAAAGAACTGCTCTTTGTATTGGTAGGCCTACCTTTTTCAGCTGGTATTTTTCACATTTTGTGTTAAAAATGATCTTTGAAAACTTGCGCGCTTTTTTGCACTCACAATGCCAAAGGCCAAAAATAATAACCACGGGAAACCAAGCTCAAAGCTATATAGTTTTCCGCGAATGAAAAGACGGTATTTGATCATCAATCTTTCTGCAAAGCATTCAAATGCATTGGTGTCAATTTTTTACCGGGGGACCTTGCATTACGACTGCAAGGGGCTTCCTTTTCCACAGCGATTCTCTAGCTCCAAATAATCGGATATACAAACAACTTACGCTATTATAATGAAGAAAGTCTGAACTTTTTCAAAATATTTAGCATTTGGTGTTTTAGAGCAAAAGAGCAAAGAAGCAGACGTCTGAATTATCCCCATTTCACCGAAACCACGTGCTCGGAAGGCCGCGAGTCGGCTTACGTGCCGCGTTTACGCTACCTAATTATACGTTTGCAATAGCACCATAAAATCACGAGAGCACCCATACACACACACTTGCACGCACACACACATACACTCACATATAAACACACCAACACTCATACACACACATGCACATAGACCGCCGCGTTGGCTTCTTCGCAAGGAGTGCGCTTTGAGAGATCTAGAGGAAGGTTATTTTTTCTTTTAAAATCACTAAAACACTATAAAAACGAATTTTTAAATCAATCCAAGTGTAAAACTGAAAGATCAACAGACGATAACAGCTAGCAGGGCACGCCCACACAGTCAGGTGTTTACGTAAACAAGCTTGAAGTGAGCAAGAAGTTACCGTTTTTACTCCGTTTTACCAATCAGAGTTGTTTACATTTTTAACCATTCATGCTCAAAAAGGGGTCAAAATCTAAAAATAGTTGCGAATGAAGAACGTTGAAGCAAAGATACTCCACTAGTGGAGAATCTTTGGTTGAAGCAAAGGAGGCCATGAGGTAATGGTTCTAAAAATAACCTCACAGCTACACACTAGCAAGGTCCAAATTCCTCGTTACCCAAGCTCTCGACAAACCACACACACCTCCAAAATAAATCAAAATGAAATATTTATAGTTTATTATTTTAATTTTAAATGAAACAGAGGACATCAAATTTTCAGTAGATCCAGAAAACAAAAATTCCATGGAAAGTCACTTTTTTGTCTTTCGAGCCTCGTAGGACACTGTGTCTTATGACTGAAATTGAACGGGGGAGACAGATATATCCTATTGTGTTGCAAGTGCCATAAAACTTTTACTAAAACTTAAACAGTGAATGTAGCTGTGGTTTGTGTTGTCTGTTTCAGACCCGGCCACAGAGCTGAGACTTGCCAAGGAGAAAATCCAACAGCTTGATGCTATCGTCACCTCGCAGAGACAGGAGGTGAGTTGCAGCAGACAGATGCCACACACTGACACACAC